TGGGGTTCCAGGTTTTGGGTTCAGGGTTTGGGTTTTGCGTTTGGGCTTGCGGATTTGGGGTTAAGAGTTTGGGGCGTAGGGTTTTGGGTTCAGGGGACTCATGAGGGCTTAACATCTGGGTTTAGGGTTTGGGGTAGGTTTTTCTGTCGCTGCTATTTTGTCGGTTGAGCACTGGTAGCCCCGATTGCCCCAGATGGTGCCCCTTCAACCCCCCTGAAGAATCAGTGACGGTTAATTTGACGGACGGGGAAGCTCGCATAGTTGGTTGGTTTTAAGGGTATGAGCGGCTTAGGGTTTTGGATTAGGGTTTCCCGAAGGTCAAGCCCAACTTGACGATCTAGTTGGGGCTTGCAAGGTTTGCTAGTGTTGGCGTCTGAGGGTGGGTAGATGTCAAGCTTTGGGATCGTGCAGTTCGTTGAGGGAACCCTACACCCAAACCCCCAAAGCACCGAAGCCCGAAACACCCCAAGAACCTAAAACTTAAACCCTAATTAAAGCCGAAACCCTAAACCCGAAAAAAACCCTAAAACCCACAGACCCTAAACCCCAATTAAAACCCTAAACCCTAAACCCTAAACCCTAAACCCACAGACCCTAAACCCCAATTAAAACCCTAAACCCTAAACCTGAAAGCCGCTTGGAGGTTTATAGGGGCGTAGAGTCGCAGGATGCGTGGTTGCTTGGTAGCTGCATTTGAGACTAGGGGTTGGGAGCTTTTAGGTTTAAGAGTTTGGGGTTTGGGTTTTAGGGTTTAAAATATTATTGTTCTAAACCCTAAACCCAAAGCCGTCAACCCTGATCCCCAAACCCATAATGTGGGGACCGTCCCGAGACAGCGGGTTGTGTGACCACGGAGAAACACTAAACCAATGTCGTACCTTTTTTCCACGAGTCACGCGCGAAGAGGTCCCCACAATACTTTCCGTTTCGGCTCCATTTGGGACTTCTGTAAACCCCAGACCCTAACCCCCAACCCCAAAAACGCACCCTAGACCCTAACCCCTAAACCCTAACCCCCCTTCCGATAGACTCGTAGCCCCCCGCCCCTTCAGGGTTCGTCATCTACAACAGAGGCTGCTGGGACCACAGAATTCGGGTTTAGGGTTCAGGGTTCAGGGTTTAGGGTTTTCGGTTCAGGGTTTAAGGTTTCGGGTTTAGGAATCAGGGTTGATGGCTCAGGGTTTTAAGGATTTTCGCACTTTACTGGCCTTGTGGGTTTTGGGGCACCAGGCGTTGAATCTTCCTTCAACCCGGTGGATGACTTTACGGTTTAGGGTTTAGGGTTTGGGGCTCAGGGTTTATGGTTGGTTTAGGCCTTGGGTGTTTTTTTTGCACTCCTGATGCCTATTTGTTTGGGATTTAGGGCTTAGGGGTTTTCAGGTCCCTGTGCCCCTTATGCAACCCGCGGTGTCCTACCCAGCCCCTTACAAGGGTAGCCCTAAACCCTAAACCCCAAACCCTAACCCTAGACCCTAAACCCTAAACCCTAGGCACTCCAACTGATGGCTCCTTTCCTGCATTTCGTGGGGTAGTTTGGGGTTTAGGGTTTCGAGGGTTGAGGTTTCAGGTATGGGGCTTAGGGTTTGGGGTTTAGAGTTTAGGGTTTAGGGTTCAGGGTTTAGGGTTTAGGGCCATGTTTCCCTGGCATTCGTCTGCGCCGAACCGTGGTCGGAGCTGGCCAGCTCGTTCGCACACTCACGGAGATTGCCTTGGGCTATATCCCCCTTGGGGACCCTAAACCCTAAACCCCAAACCCGAAACCCAAGAGGATATTATGTTTTAATTGAGGTTCCAAAAGGAGTATAGTGGAGGAGCCGGATGAACCTCAGAGATCTCGCTGCAAGGCCTGGGTTTATTTGGGGTTTGGGGTGTAGGGTGTTGGGCTTAGGGTTTTTGGGTTTAGGGTTTCGGGTCTAGTGTAGGGTTTGGGGTGCCTGCTGACAGGCTCTTGCCACAAGACAGGCGCTGTGCGCCCTCACTATCGCAGCAAAGAGTGACCCTGAACCCTAAACCCTAAACCCTAGACCCTAAGCCGCTGCTTCCATGGCCCCTACCGAAGACAAGGCTCGATTGGCGGATCACGTTGTGGAGCCATAGGTTCAGGGTTTAAGGGTTTAGGGCCAGGGTTTAGGGTTTGGGGTTTAGGGTTTAGGGTTTAGGGTTCAGGGTTTGGGGTGTCGGGTTTCGGGTTTAGGGTTTAGGTTCAGGGGTTTAGGGCTTGAGGGGGCTCAAGCCAAAAAGACAGGTGGGTGGGGGTGGGGGGGGGGGGGGGGGGTGGGGGGCGGGGGGGGGGGCGGGGCGGATGGGGGGGGGGGGGGTGGGGGGTGGGGGGGTGGGGGGGGTGGGGGGGTGGGGGGTGGGGGGGGGGGGGGGTGGGGGGGTGGGGGGTGGGGGGGGGGGGGGGGGGTGGGGGTGGGGTGGGGGGGTGGGGGTGGGGGGGGGGGGGGTGGGGGGACGAGGGCGCCCCTACCCCCCTGTGCTGAACGCTGTGCGTGCGTGGCGCGGTCCTCCACGAAAAAATTGTGCACCGACCCCCCCCCCCCCCCCCCCTTAGTTTCGGCGGACCCAAGATCATCCTAGACCCTAAACCCTAAACCCTGAACCCTAAACCCTGAACCCTGAACCTTAAACTTCATGATATGATCATCCCTCCAACAGTATCATGGCGGCCTTGGAGGAACTTCCCCCCATGGCTAGCTCGAAAGCTGAAATGTGGCCTGCAAAATCAAGTACCTTCTGCTACGACCAAAATGCCTCAGGGATTCCCAATTTTGAGGGTCATGAAACTGGATGATCTCAGGCCCTCAGCCCTAAACCCAGACATCAAGCCCCTAAACCTTAAGCCCCAAACCCAACCCAACCCCCCCCCCCCCCCCCCCCCCCCCCCCCCCCCCCCCCGCCCCCCTCAACCCTCAACCCTCAATCCTCAACCTTGACTCAACCCTAAGACCCTCAACCCTCAACCCTAAATCCCCCGCATCCCAGAGCCCACCTTCGTCTGCCTTGAGGTCGCCAGTGGGGAGGTCTCGAGCACGGCGCCACTGGCGCAGTTGAACCCTAAACTTTAAACCCAAACCCTAAACCCAAATATGAGATTTCCGGGGTGTATAGGGTTTGGGGTTTACTGTCTGGAGCTTCGAGTTTAGGGATCCGCTTTGGACTGTTTACCATTATCTCTCTTTTTCCTATTATTTCAATTGATGCGCATTAGTACTCGTGTTATCCTTATTCCTTGTTATTCCTATCATGTGTATTCGTACTCTTATTACTTTTCGTACCATAAATACTCGTATCACTCTTCTCTTTATTTTCAGTAGTACTCTTCTCGCTATTAGTACTCTTATCTTCTTGTGACTACTATTTCTCTTATTACCACTCCTATTACTCTTAACTAGAATGAGTTAATATTACGATTACTAGTAGTACTCTCTTTGCTATTGGTACTCCTCTTTCTCCGAGTACTCTTATTACACTTATGACTCTTATTGCTCTCACTACTCTTATAACTCTTGTTGCTCATAATACTCTCATGACTCTTCCTACTCTGATTACTCTTAATGCTCTTATCACTCTTACTACTCTTGTTACTCTTGTTACTCTTGTTACCCTTATTACCCGTATTAAACTTATTACTCTCATTACTCTCATTACTCTTATTACTCTTATTACTCTTATTACTCTTATTACTCTTATTACTCTTATTACTCTTATTACTCTTGTTACTCTTATTTCTCTTACTACTCTCATTACTCTTGTTACTCTTTCTATTGGTACTCCTATTACTCGTATTGCTGACGTCAAGCGCCAGGCCTCCACGCGTGCCTCCATCAACGACCTGCTGGAGCGCTGCGAGGGCATTGCGGCCCATGAGGTCGGCATTTTTGGTATGGGGGATGGGCTAGGGTTTAGGGTTTGGGGTTTGGGGTTTGGGGTTTAGGGTTTAGGGTTTAGGGTTTAGGGTTTTGAGGCTGGAGGCTTTTTGTCTTCAGGGTTCGGGGGGCTGAGCCTTGTATGGGTGTAGCAGCCCATCCTAGTTGTGGAGTGATTTTTGGGAATCAGAGTACAGGGTTTAGAGGCCAGGGCTCATTGAAAGGCCTTGCCAGGGAGGTTTGGGGGTTTTGGAGTTTTTTGGGTTTTGGGGTTTTTAAAGGTTTGAGGAATTTAGAGTATAAGGTTTCGGGTTTAGGGCTTGGGCCTGATACGGGTTGAGGAGTTTAGGGTCTGAGGTTACAAGCAATTTAGGGTTGAAGAGGCCGTTAATTTTTTTATAACGGGCCTACCCCAGAGTTGGGGTTGAGTAAGAAGTCAAGTTAGCAGGTCGCGTAGGGGTTATGAAGTGTTTGTGACAAGGACTGCCCACAAAAGAAGACCCTATACCTATCTCACCGCTCATCATGCAGTCCCCCAAGCCCTAAACCCTCAGCCCTAAACCCGAAACCCCTATAAACCCTGAACGACCCAGAGCTGCAGCCCCTTTGCCGGCTGCGACTGCCAAGAGTGCATCTGGCTGGGCAGACTGACCTTTACCTGAGGGGGCAGGGTTTTCAGGCTTAGGATGGGGCAAACATTGAGACTAACCCTGTACTTTCAAACGGGCACTACTCAACAACTGAGGCACATATTTTCTTATGAATATAAGGCCACCAAGATCTGTTTTGAGGTCTCCATGGTAATGAATTTCTTCTCTATACTATGAGGTACCGAAATTGGTCATTATTCTGATCGTGGGGCGGACTTCATCCTTCCAAGGAACCACCCTCTTGAGGGGCTCTTTGCAATGTCAGCGTAGGATCCGAACCCCACGACCCTGAAACCCCACCTCTTATGCATAGGGCACCCAAAAAGGGACCATAATTTAGAGAACTCACCGCATCAGCAACTCGGAACCAGAGTCGGTCCTTATTCCCTTTTTGGGGGGCTTCGACTCCTTTCTACGCCCCCTAGAAACCAAAAAGGGCACCCCCTTCTTATTCCTGGGTTACTCTTGGGTCTAGTCAGCAATGTTGCGCGTGCGCATGATGTCCTCGGGCCTGGAAGTGGCATCGCTTTCTGCGGAAGACTTCGAGGACGGGACCGAGACATCGGGAGGCATCTCGGTGCGCCGTCTGCAACTTGGGGAGTGTTTGCAGCAGATTTTTTCAAAAGTTTGTTGAAGGCACATTCAGGCCCTAAGTCCCCTAAACCCTAAACTAGGTGCCCCAAAAAGCACATAAGCTGAAGGGTCCTACCATTCCCTATAAGGAGGAGTCTGTTTGTAGAATCCCTCTGTGTTTCTTGTGGTTTTTTCTGGCGCCTATTATGAACCCTAAACCCTCCAAAACCCAAAACCCTAAACCCTAAACCCGAAACCCGAAACCCTACACCCTAAACCCTGAACCCTAAACCCTAAACCCTAAACCCTAAAGCCCCGAGCTGCAAAGAAGCCGTCAGGAAAGTGTATCTGTCGACGCTGACTGGGCAACCACGCTTCCGACAGCGGCTGCTGCAACTTGGCAGCTGAGTGAGTGCAACTTTACACTTTTTGAGATGCCATAGCCCCTAGAGAACCCTAAACCCTAGACCCTAAACCCTAAACCCTAAACCCTAAACACTTTTTTGTTTTTCTTGTTGGGGGGGGGGGGGGGGGCTTATGAACTCAGCAACTAAGGCAAAGCGGCAGCATCTTGCACGACGACACGCAGCTTACTCTTCCAATGGAACCTGGGCGGCAGGTTTAGGGTTTAGGGGTTGGGGTTTAGGGTTTAGGGTTTAGGGTTCAAAGCTTTTTCAATTAAGCTGCCATAGCTGGGAAGGTTCATCAGCTTGTGTACGATATCCACATCTGAAGTTAACATAAGGCATTTGTTTATGAGCGCTTTGTTTCTGGTGCTTATAAACCCTAAACACGAAGCCCTAAGCCTAAACCCTAAACCGTAAACCCAAACCCAAAATCCTAAACCCTATGACATGAGCAGCCTGGAAGGACTTGAGCTTGGTGCTCTTGTCATTGTGCACCCCCGAAGCTGAGAAGCAAAGTGAGATCCACCGCGCGATTGTCGACGACGACGGCGCGGCGATGGATTCCCTTCTCCAGCACCCCTTCGACCCCAACCTCCCAGTGGTCGAAGATCCTTGGGGACTACATGAAGGGGGCCCTTAGTACCTTAGGGTTTAGGGGGCAAGTTGGGTGCAGGGTGTAGGGTTTAGGGTTTATCGGGCTTGCTGTGATAGAGCGCAGAAGCTGTGAAGGTTGGGATGCAGACTAAGCAAAGATGACTCGCTCTGCATACCGCTCAGCGCGGTTTAAAGTTTGTTGTGCAACAACAAGGCGGACATAAAAGTTTAGTTAAATGACATAATATATGGATCTAGATCTTATCTAGATCCATGAAATAATTAACCATCTCCCTCCTTCTCTCTTTCTCTCATGTTCGACTCCTTTGCCTCTCGGACTTGCAGTATGTCGCTCCACACCACGCTTGGAATCCCTTCGCGTACCGATCACAGTTCGGACTGTCAACTTTTTTTTTGGGGGGGGGCACTTCGAACTTCGAACCCCGCCCATCTTTTATACCTGCCCGCGCAACCTACACCCCAAGCCCTGCACCCGACATCCTAAACCCGATAAACCGAAACCCCTAAACCCTAAACCCCAAACCCTAAACCCCAAACCCCAAACCCCAAACCCCAAACCCTAAACCCTAAACCCTAAACCCTAAACCCTAAACCCTAAACCCCTCCCGGTTGCTTAGGATGTTCCTTGTCTCTGTTTGGCGGCTGAGCATGGGTCTCTGAAGTCGGGTCAGCTGCTCTTCGAAGCAAAAGCCGACGTTGGAGGTGCCTTGGGAGGCCAAATATGGGCATCTAGGGTTTAGGGTTTAGGGTTTAGGGTTTAGGGTTAAGGGTTTAGGGTTTAGGGTTTAGGGTTTACCCCGAAATTGAAAATTGGGTACGCCCAAGTCTCAAGTGGACTTGGGAACCTGTGCCCAAGCTACGACCCAGGGGTTTTGGGTTTCTGGTTCAGGTAGGATCTTGTACCCTACACGGCCATTAATCCCTAGCCCAAGTATGTGACCCGTACGCACTGCTGGAGCCCTAAACCCTAAACCCTAGACCCTGAACACCCTAAACCCTAAACCCCAAACCCCAAACCCCAAACCCCAAACCCCAAACCCTAAGCCCTAACCCTAAACCCTAAAACCGCGAGGTGGTGCCACTTCCTGGATGCCACCGCTTCACAGCGCGAGTCGACGAGGCCACGGTGACTTCGTGCGGTGGCTGCTGGAGTCACGTGCTGATGCACCTCCGGGACAGTATGAAACCCAAAAAGGTTAAGTCTAAACAATAAACCCTAAACCCTAAATCCTAAACCCTAAATCCTAGGGTTTAGGGTTTGGGGGGTCCATATACCCTACTTCGGCTTTGTTCACTGGAGCACAGAATCATGTCTTTCACCTTCACTTGGTCTAAACCAAGGTAGGCCAGACATTTACAGATGGAGCCGCCAGAATCACGACCACAGCCCTGCATGTCGCTTGTGCGCGTGGCCACCTGGATGTTCTGCAGGCCTTGATAGATGCAGGTGCCAACGTCAATATGCTGCTGGGTAGCCCATTGGTACCCTTTACCCTTTCTTTAGTTCACGGCTCGCTTATAAAGTAGCCTACCCCAAAGAAGGGTACCCTTATATCATAATATGGTTACCGGAAACCCTAAACCCTAAACCCTAAACCAAGGCTGCCAACAGGCAGTAGCAGCCTGCGGCCCATGATGATTGCGTGTGCTGGAGGCCAGATTGAGGCAGCCCGGCTATTGCTCCAGGCGCGCGCAGAGGTCGACTGCTCTTCGGCAGATGGTACCACACCCCTCCTGTGCGCCTGTGAGAGGAAGAAGCTTGATATGGTGGACTTTTTGCTGGCAGCTGGCGTGGACATGGAGAAAGCCACATTTTCTGACCTCTTCCCACTGGCTGTCGCTTCAATTCTGGGGCATGATGCTTGGTAGTCCAGTGGTACCCTTTTTCCCTCTTGTGGTTCCCCTCATAAAGTAACCAACCCCAAAAAGGATGCCCTCATTATAATATATCATTATAATATGGTGGTTTCCGAAATTTGGGTACCTTATTTGGGGTCCCTATAATGGGAATCCTACTATTGGGGGGGGGGGTTATGTTAGGGGTCCCCTGATTTCGTACACCCCCGCATGGTTTTTAAACCCTAAACGCTAAACCCTAAACCCTAAGCCCTAAACCCTATACCGGGGCAACCAAGGATGAAATCGTGCGCTCGCTGGTTGCCGCTGGAGCGAACATCGCTCGGCGCTGGCGGAGTCCAGATGGGATGCTACCCTTGCACATCGCCTGCTCCAGCGGCCATTCGTCTGGGTTTAGGGTTTAGGGTTTAGGGTTTAGGGTTGAGGGTTTCGGGTTGAGGGTTTAGGGTTTAGGTTCTTCTGGAAATCTAAACCCTGAAAACCCAGAATCCGAGTAAGTTTGTTGCTTGTTCTTTTTTTGGGCGGCGGTTCCCTGGCGCACAGTTTGCAAGCCCAGAGTCAGAACGAGGACATGTCTTCCTGCATGTGGGCAGCTTTCTAAATTCTGCATTGCTCCTTTTCTGGGTACCCGAAATATGATACAAAGGCCAGTGTTCTTTAAGGTGTCTCGGCAGGGACCTGAATGTCTCGCCATTTGCACCCAGTTGGAAGCTTACAAGTTCCCTTTGTTGAATTGGGATTTCTAAAGGTTGCAATATGAGCCTGAATTGCTGAATGTATGTATGTGTTTAAAGCGTTTGTGTCATGTCCCTAGACTTTTAACTTCGGCCTCAGAACTAACCCTAAACCCTAAACCCTAAACCCTATCAACAAGGGGGATCTTGGACAGCCAAGGGCACCAGGAGACAGCTCGTGTCCTGATCCAGGCCCAAGCCGACTTGAATGTCAAAGCAAGTGGGAGCACACCACTTGACATGGCCAACGCATTTGGGCATCATGAAGCGAGGTTGTCTTTGGCAAGCCGTTTTCGTCCTTAGCGTGCTCCCTAAACCCAAAAACCCTAAACCCTAAACCCCTTTTGTTGCATGTCATGGCGGACCAGAGAGATCCAGCAAACACTGTACCTTCCTTGGGGTCTAGAGTCTAGATGAACCCTGAAAGCTCGTGTGGTCACGTCGTGGAGTATATAATCCCAGCATGATTGATGTGGTTATTTTGATTCACAAATTCTGCCATTATCTTATTTGTACACTTATATTGTTATTGTTGTTTAGGGGTATAGGGTTCAGCGTTTAGGGTTCAGGGTTTAGGGTTTCCCATGCTCAAACCCAACTTGACACCAAGGACGTCGCAGCTGTGATCATGGAGGCCATGGCAGCTTCTTAGACTGAAGAAGTGACGAGCCCAAGAGACCTGAAACGGTTGAGGGTTTAGGGTCTACAGCGACAGCCAGAAAGTTGGAAGGTGGAAATTGGAACGGATGGCCGGAAATGCAATCTTCCAACTTTCGTTGTGCGGGAATCCCGAATCTTCCAACTTTGCGTTGGCACCGCCGCACTGTTGGGTGGCGGTCGCTCTTGTTTGCCCTTAAGGGTTCTCTTTTTTTGAGGTCCATTTTGTCCTTTCAAAGTGCTTCGTTTTCTTTTTCACCTCAAAGTTGGAATAAACACAAAGTTGGAAGAGTCAAGTTGGAAGAATTGAAAGTTGGAAGGTCTGCGACCCATTTTCGAAAGAGCGGAAAATTTGGATGGACACCTTCCAACTTTTCGGCTGCCACCATAGGGTTTGGGGTTTAGGGTTTCGGGTTTAGGGTTTAGGCTTAGGTCTTAAGGTTTTATGGATTAGGGTTTTGGGTTTAGGGTTTTTAGGGTGGCTCTGGAAGCCCCAGCTCAACGCTCGGGCTCTGAGGGCCTCAGGGGCCTTGCCCTAGAAACCTCACACACCCGAAGCCCCACACACTCTAAACCCTAAACCCTAAACCCTAAACCCTAAACCCTAAACCCTAAACCCTAAACCCTAAACCCTAAACCCTAAACCCTAAACCCTAAACCCTAAACCCTAAACCCTATCAGTACCGTTGTAAGTACAGTTCTCATGGGGTTATATAATCAGCACCATGAACCTCCAAAAGACCAAGCCAAAGGATCTGCCACGGCCCAAGCGGAGGAGGACGAAAGGCCCTCCGTAGCGCGAGACGCAAGGAAGGCTCTTGGCATGAATTGGGTTTAGGGTTTAGGGTTTAGGGTTTAGGGTTTAGGGTTGAGGGTTCAGGGTTTAGGGTTTAGGGTTCAGGGTTTAGGGTTCAGGGTTTCGGGTTTCGGGTTTCGGGTTTCGGGTTTCGCATTTTGGCATACTGTTTGGGGTTTGGTTTTAGGGTTCAGGGTTCGGGGCGTAAGGTTGATGGTGCATGGGATTTAGGGTGCATGGCTTGCGATGGGCTTCTCGCATGCTTCCGATTTGTCAGTCCGCACGCCGTTTGGAAGGCATGAGGCAACATTAAGGGTTTAGGGTTTAGGGTGTAGGGTTTAGGGTTGTAACGTAGCCTTGACACTGCCAAACTTAGGTTTCCTGGAGCCTTTGGCCGGGCTGTTTCATGACCTCCCCGGTGAGAAAGGCCACTGAGGCGATGCTCGAGCGCCGGCATCAGCCAAAACAGGGTTCAGAGTTGAGGATTTAGGGTTTAGGGTTCAAACTTTGTCCTAGTGGGGCAACATTTTTGCATCTTCAAGGGTACTTCAACTCAAGAAGGAATAGAAATGTGAATCTTTAATCCTATCCCAACCATGAACCAGCCAAACCCTCAACCCAAATCTCTGAAACCCAGCCCTAAACCCAGACCCTAACCTCACCCCTAAGGTCCCAGAATCCCAACCAACGTCCTATGGAGTCCGAAGGACTCCATTGATGCGAACTTTGCCAAAGTCTTTCGTACCATAGCGTTTCGGGTTTCGGGGGTGCAAATCTCAGGTTTGGGTCCCACAGTCCTAAACCTTAACCGATGGGCACGACATAGCCTAGGCAACTAACCTAAGTATTCGAAGCCTTACGACAATTGCCCCTAATGCGAGGCTTGATAAACAGCTCGACGATTGTGTGGTCTAAGTAAGGTCAACCCTCAACCCTAAGCACTAAATTCCCTAAAACCCTAAACCTTAATTGAGTCTTCTCAGAATTTCAGACATCTCAGATTCTACGAGGCCCATAGCACTTAACACCCCTAACACCCCTAGCACCCTAAGCCCTAAACCCCTAAAACCCTCACCCCTTTCAACCCTAAAACTCTTAACCCTTAACCCTGACCCCCTTAATCCCTAAAACCTAGGACCCTATAACCCTTAACCCCATAATTTCCTGAAGTCCCGAAGACCCTAAACCCCTAAACCCCACATGGGCTCTGGTTGTCCGCCCCGACTGCGGGGTTTAGGGTTTAGGGTTTAGGGTTTAGGGTTTAGGGTTTAGGGTTTAGGGTTTAGGGTTTTGGGTTTTGGGTTTTGGGTTTAGGGTTTAGGGTTTAGGGTTTAGGGTTTAGGGTTTAGGGTTTGGGACGTCCAGCTTCCATGCCTCTTGTAGAGAGCGCCTCCCCAGTTTGTTGTTAAGTTGGGTTTGGGGTTTAAAGCTTCGGGGATGTACGGATTAGTTTTTGTTGAGGGTTTAGGGGTTTAGGGTTTAAGGTTTAGGGTTTTTCGGGTTTAGGGTTTAGTTAGGGTCTAGTGTTTAGTTATTAAGGTTTTTGGTTCAGGGATTGGGCCTAGAGGCGAGGATTCTCTAACAAGCCCCTTCTAGCAAAACAATGGGGCTCCCTTTGTGTTTAAGGTTGCTCTGGGGTTGAGGGTTCACGGTTTGGGGTGTAAGGCGTAGGGTCCCGTTTTTGTGCACCCTTCTCCCCTCCCCCCCTCGACCCATTTGGGCTTTCGGGATTTAGGGTTTTGGGGTTTAGGGTGTAGTGGACCCTAAGCCCTAAGCCCTAAGCCCTAAACCCTAAACCCTAAACCCTAAACCCTAAACCTTAATCCACCAAACCCAGTTGAAGTTGCTTTTGTTACTTGAGAGTTGTAGGAGTGCACGGTTTCGGGGTTTAGGAGTTTAGCACTAAGACCGCTGAGTTCTGAGCGTTTCAGGGGGTTCGGCTCTGGGAGTTTTAGGAGTAAGGGTTGGGGTTTAGGGTTTAGGGTTTAGGGTTTAGGGTTTAGGGTTTAGGGTTTAGGGTTTAGGGTTTAGGGTTTAGGGTTTAGGGTTTAGGGTTTAGGGTTTAGGGTTTAGGGTTTAGGGTTTAGGGTTTAGGGTTTAGGGTTTAGGGATCCCAAACCCCAGACCCTACACCCCAATCCCTAAACCCTAAACCCCAGTATCCACACGCTCGTGGTTCTTCGAGGGGCTTAGGAGTTCCGGGTTTTTAATCCTTGGAGCCAAGGACCTCCCACAACCCACCCTCAGTCCCTGATCCCTTGCCCTAAACCCTTCACCGGAAGCGCCGAAACCCGAACACCTCCAAACCCTCAGCCCCAAACCCGAAACCCTAAACCCCAAACCCTCAGCCCCAAACCCGAAACCCTAAACCCCAAACCCTAAACCCCAAACCCTAAACCCTAAACCCCAAACCCTAAACCCCAAACCCTAAACCCCAAACCCTAAACCCCAAACCCTAAACCCTAAACCCCAAAAGCCTCCAAACCATCCCTGCATGCAGGAATCCCTGGAGAGCGCGCTGCGTGCGCAGCTGGAAGAGGGCATCGCGAAGGGCTTGAAGGACCTCTTCCAAAGAGCGGAGGGGGTAGGGGGTTTAGGGTTTAGGGTTTGGGGTTTGGGGTTTAGGGTTTGGGGTTTAGGGTTTGGGGTTTAGGGTTTAGGGTTTAGGGTGTAGTGTCTTCAAGGTGTCTAGGGTAATTTCGATTTTTTGGGGGGGGCTTGTTTAGGTGTTTTACTTAGGGTCTCTATAGACTTGATAGGTGGCAGACAGAGATGAGAGAGAGGGAGGGATGCCGCCGACTTTTGTATGGCTTCGGGGCATGCAAGCTGAGCCCAGAACCTCAAGCCCTAAACCCTAAACCTTGCCATATTCTAAACCCTGACCTCTAAACCCTGGACCCTAAACGCTAAACCCTAAACCCTGCTACACCCGAAACCCCAAATCCTAAGCCCTGAACCCCCGGTGCCCGGAGACGTCAAACCATGAGGCCTGGGGGGCCGAACTGAGAGAAGGTACCATAAGCCCTGAACCCTAAACCCTAGACCCCAAACGCTAAACCCCAAACCCTAAACTCTGAACCCTAACCCTAAACCCTGAACCCCCGGAGTAAGCACACCACACGGTTCGACAACTTGTGGTTTGGGGTCGAAGGGTTTAGGAGTTTAAGGATCTAAGGTTTTAAGGGTCTCAGGGTTTCAAGGTGTTAAGGTTTGAGGGTCCAAGGTTTTGAGGGTTCAAGAGTTTGATGGTGTAAGGATTGAGGGTTTCGACCTTAGGTTCCCTTTGGGTTCCATATCGGAAAGGAGCGAGGCTCTTATGGTTCGGGGCTTTAGGAATGCCAGTCTAATCTAGCCCCTCAGATTCCCACAGACGTAGGAATACTCAACGCCGTGCATCATGCAGCCATACGGTTCCTTGCAATGCCCATCTAACTTCGAAGCCCTGAAAGAAGCAACCACCCTCAAACCCCTGAACCCTGGAACCCTGGAACTCTCGAACCCCCGAACCCTCGAACCCTTGAACCCTTGAACCCTTAGACCTTAGGGCCTTAGGGTTTAAGGTTTAGGTGCAGGGTTCAACCCTAAACCCTCAAAGCTGAAATGCCCCAACCCCAAGCCCCTGAAAACGCAACGAAGCCCACAAGCCCGCTAAACCCTAAACCCTAAACCCTAAACCCTAAACCCTAAACCCTAAACCGTGACTTAAGCTTGCAGCCATGAAGCTCCGAAACGATGGGGGCCTCACTTGGTTTTTGTGCTGGGTAGGGGGCATTTCTTGGACAGGGGTAGTATGGCATCCCCTAAACCATAATCCCTACACCCTAAACCCTAAACCCGAAACCCTAAACCCCAAACCCTAAACCCTAAACCCTAAACCCCAAACCCCAAACCCCAAGCCCAGTCACGTGGAGGACCTCGAGCCCCATGGCCAAAGCGTGCGGGAGGTGGGTCATCTTGCCCAACAGCGTCTCAAGGACGTTTGGGTTTAGGGCTTAGGGCTTAGGGCTTAGGGCTTAGGGTTTAGGGTTTAGGGTTTAGGGTTTAGGGGATAGGGTTTAGGGTTTAGGGTTTAGGGTTTGGGGGTTTAGGGTTTGGGGTTTAGGGTTTAGTTTTCAGGGGGTTGAGGGTTTAGGGTTTTAGGGGGGGGGGGTGGGGGGGGGGGGGTGGGGGGGGGGGGGGGTGGGGGGGGGGGGTGGGGGGGGTGGGGGGGGGGGGGGTGGGGGGGGGGGGGGGGGTGGGAGGGGGGGGGTGGGGGGGGGGTGGGGGGGGGGGCTTCGGGCTCGTACTGGGGCTCGTACTGGGGCTCGTACTGGGGTTTAGGGGCTCAGGGTTTAATTGGGGCTTAGGGTTTGGGTGGTTTACGGTTCTTGTCGGGTTTAGGGGTTTCGCCCGAATTCAGGTTTTTTTGGGCTCCAAGTAACTTAGTCAAGGAGGCCCTTCTTCGGGGTTTTCAGGGGCGCTGGGCTTCGTTGGCACCGGGCGTTAGGGTTTAGGGTCTAAGGTTTAGGGTTTAGGGTTTAGGGTTTCGGGGTCAGGGTTTAGGGTTCACGGTTTAGGGTTAAAAGCTCTAGGTTTCGGGCTTTTTCAGGTTTGAGGGTTTGAGGCTTCAAGTGTAGAAAGACAGCAATGTAAGGTGGGCTTGGAGCTGTAAGGGTTTAGGGCGGTTTAGGGTTTAGTTTTAGGGTTTAGGGTAAGGGTTTAGGGAGGCTTGAGGGTTCAGGGGTCATGTGGTGTAGGCCCTAAGCCCTAAACGCTAAACCCGCTTCGTGTGCTTTTGATTATGAGCTCTCGCTCGCGGCCTTGGGCACAGAGCCCGAAACTCTTAGAACTCAAAGTCTAAACACGAGACCTTCTACATCTAGGGCACAGACTTCGCGCGGCGTTTAGTCTATTAGAAGTGTAGTCCTACTAAGCCCTAGAAGCTAAACCCCGAACCTTAGCCCCAAACTAAGCCTCCCACAGCCTAAGCCCGAAACTCCCAAACCCTAAACACGAAAACCA